CACAACAGTGTCCCAGAGCTGGTCCACCGAACCAGCCCCAGTCTCTAAGTTGCCCTGCCTGGCTGTTCCAGCCAGGGCTCAGAAATCAGACCAACCTGGTGACTCAAGGCAAGCCGAAGGCTTTTGAGTCTTCATTCCCACATCTATGAAAGGGAAAATACTGACCTCACAGGATTTTTAGAGGGATTAAATGTGATAGTCAGTAAAAATTCCCAGCACATGGTACACTTAGGAACCTCCTGCCAGAAGCCTTCTTTCTGACAAAGGAGCAATGCCTGTCACCTGGGCATTGGGACACTGGCTCTCCCAGCCAGTTTGGGTTCTGTCTTAACATCACTACTAGAAATACCTCAGTGTCACTAGAGTTTGGGATTACTCAGTCTCATTCTCTAGGTGGTTTGTGCCAAACTGGAGAGGAGTCTGAGGGGCTTCTTTCTAGCAACTAGAAAGTCATTCTTTGAGCTGGTGGCACTGTTAAACCACACATGGGCAAAACAGAAAACTGCTGTGCTGATCGTTGACCAGACTGCCCTGGAAGACCAGAGGATGAAAAATAGGATAAGGATGGGGTGGAGGTAAAGGGTTCTAGGGATTCCTGTGCAGGAAAGAGAGGCAGATGAAAAGAGTAGGTTCTTGCACAGCACGACAGCCAGAGGGGAGGGGGAGAGGGGAGGGGAGGGATCTGGGCTAAGAATCATTAGGTCTAGATTCAAGTCCTAGTTTTGCTATTAAGTCAGTGCAATGCACCCTTCCTAGATCTCAACTTCCTCAACCACAAAGGGAGTGAGATCAAAAGTAATTGCATCCACCTCATTACAAATAGCTCAATTTCGTTTCTTTTTATGTGGATAGACCTAGAGTCTTGTCATACAGAGTGAAGTAAGTCAGAAAGAGAGAGACAAATACCGTATGCTAACACATATATATGGAATTTAAGGAAAAAAATGTCATGAAGAACCTAGGGGTAAGACAGGAATAAAGACACAGACCTACTAGAGAATGGACTTGAGGATATGGGGAGGGGGAAGGGTAAGCTGTGACAAAGCGAGAGAGAGGCATGGACATATATACACTACCAAACGTAAGGTAGATAGCTAGTGGGAAGCAGCCGCAGAGCACAAGGAGATCAGCTCTGTGCTTTGTGACCTCTTGGAGGGGTGGGATAGGGAGGGTGGGAGGGAGGGAGATGCAAGAGGGAAGAGATATGGGAACATATGTATATGTATAACTGATGCGCTTTGTTATAAAGCAGAAACTAACACACCCTTGTAAAGCAATTATACTCCAATAGAAAAAAAAGTAATTGCATCTTTTCTCTTAAAAGTTTCCAGCACATACATGTTCACTCCCTTTTTTTCCTCCTGCCCTTACATTCCCTATCCTTTGGTTTGGAGCCAACTCCTTCCTGGCAACCAAAACTCCAGACACCATGAACTGTCCTCAGCAATCCCGACCCCTGCCCCCCTTATGAGATCAGAGGTATCAGAGCCTCACTCTCCATGCTGCCAGTCCAGGCTTTGTTTACCACTTGGGGCCAGGTCTGCCTGTAAATTAGAACTAGAATTGCTTCATGCCTATTGCTTCAGGTAGTGGAAAAAACACTGATAGATGTTTTCTGCCATACCAAATTGGAATCCCTCAATGGCTTTTCCCATAAACTTTGTTATACGTAATTGGTGGTTAGAGTCCATATTACCATGGATACTGTTCTACAGTTACATTAAGGATTAAATTGGTTTTGCAGACGGATCTAGGATTTAACCACCACTTGTACCACAGTCTCTGTGGGAAAATATATTCTGTGTTCCAAACAATTGACCTTTTGGAGTTGATCCAGTTCCTAAGCTGGGGACAGCCTGTACAATATTATGTTACATTTTGGGTTTCATTTGTGTGTCCTAGAATCAAAGACTTGTTAGAGCTGGAAGAAACTCTGGAGATCATTAACGCAACTAATTTTGTAGGTAATGAAGCCAAGGTTCAGAAAGACAGATTTGTTTAAGGGTATTTAGCTACTTTGGTCTCCCACCTTCAAGCCAATGCTTGTCCCACTCCAAATTATTTTGTGGTCATTTTCCCAAACAGCCATTAAACCACTTGAAAGTTGGGAAGATCATGTTTTCTTCAGTACAGAATCAAACATACTAAATATTTCATAAATACTGAAACAATTCATTATTCACTTTGCTTTGGAGGTCTATTCGCTATAAGACGTCCTCAAATAACAAGTAACATTAGGGTATTTCAATTAAGAATGTATTTATAGTAGACTAGATTTGGTTTGAATCAAGACTTGAATAACTGAAAAATATTCTATTTAACCAGTGTTCCCTATATAAAAGGGTCTATTAGGGTTGATGTCACTCCAATAAATATTTTTCACAGCTCACAGACACATCTGGTTCTAGTTTTAGGAGATACATGCCATTAATTTTAATGTGGTCTTAGGGGAGAGCCACTCATTTTATAACTACATTTAAAAACTTAATATCCCTTTGTTTGTTTTATTTACCAAAGCCTGCTGAAACAGAGACTTATGAACCATTCAGAAGCAAACCTTCTCCAACTGAAAAGGTGACAAACATAATTTTGATATACTATATGAGGAGAGCCACCGTCATTAGAAACAAAACACTTACAAACTGTTTTATTTGAAACAAACTTTCCCATTTGGTGTACTTTTCTTCACCAACAAACACATTGAGTTATTTCTTAAATATCTTTGAATGAGAAAGATAGGAGAGCACTGAAAGAGAAACAATCTCATATAGGTAGATGACATGGTTTTATTGTAACAAACTAGGGAGTGACCTAAATAGACAGCCCTGTAATCTAATTACGAGGGGAAAAAAAAAAAAAAGAGCCACAGATCAAGTCTTCAAAAATTAGTCATCCTTTGTGATAGCTGCCCTCCAACTTTAATTGTCTTATAGTTAACAGCTCTACAGTTAACTCCTTCAATTACTAGGCATTTATTTTATTTTTTTATGGTATAAGAAAATGTATTTTCACAAGATATTAATTACATACCAATAAAGCATTTAAACTAAATACAACACTTCAAAACATTCTGCACAAAGAAGTTACAGATCACATTTATTTAATAACAAAATGTCTAGTTCTTTAAGAAAATATTTTTTAAGAACTTACTGCAATAAAATTTTCCAACCAAAGAAAAACATATTAAACAAATTATGGTATAAGACATCATAAAACTTACTAATGTAACAAATCAGGCAGAATTTTGTGCTAGAAACAGAATGGGGGACATCTAAATAAAACAAAAATTCAGAAAATGTGTATTCATAAATTTCTGGTTAACTGAGGCTTAATGTTGCTAAAGACCAGGAGTCTTTAAGCATCAGACTTTGTTTATAAAAATAAAAAATTCCCCAAACATTAGCAACATACTACCTCAGCACAATTTTTTTTTCCCTTTACAATTCAGAATCCTGCCGTTCATTTGTCAAATATATGAACAATATCTAGTTACTTCATTAAACTTAACCAATATTACCCTTCGGATACTGATTCTGTTGCATTATTTTTTTTCCCAATGAACCTAGAGCCTATGCACACTTAGATAAAAACTGGTCTTAGAAATACTTTATTCATGAATAATTCTACACATATTCAATGAAAGCCTACATTTCCAGGCCTAGAAAGAGCAAGACAGACACCAGGCCTGCCTCCAGAGCTTACCATCTAGAATACAGCAAGTCAAGCACTGGTTCTCAATCACTACGAGCCTTCATTTCACCTTTCAAGATGTGCACAGATATTGATGTCCTCTCTAAAGGCAAACTAAATCTTCCCTTATGCATATCATTCCTTAGATTCTCTACGGGGAATTTTGCAATCCGTATGTTGACAAGGCCTATGCTTTGCTTTCTCTGATTGCCTTCTGCTCCTTATAACAACGTCAAGTATTTTATTTTCCTTTCAGTTCTTCCCAACATAGCCTCTGCAGTTTTGTCTATCCAGTTTGGCCTTTTCTGTGACACTCTTGTTACAGTTTTCTGCTCCCCTTCATTTTTGTTTCTTTCCTTCTTACTAGAAGCCTGGTCATCTGGGCTTCCCCATCTGCCTTTCCTAGCTTCTTATTCATTCTAGTAACTAATCTTAACACTTCCTTAAATGTTGGGTCTTCAGTAGGGAGAATTAGTGAGCATTTCAGTTAGTATTTCCTTGAGCTCTGTTGTGAACATTAGATCTTCTTTACAACAATACTTTCTCCCCAAACGTTATTTAGAAATATTATCCTAATATTCTAGGATATTAGGATTTCTGTTTTAAAGGTTTTTTTTAAAAAAAGATCAATAAAGGAATATGCATAATTCAGCAACTGATGCTCCTACTTCAGTCTCAAACCCTTTGGCATATGGGATACCAATGTCACACGTAAGGGGCTAGATCAAAAATTCAGTTTTTGGCTCTTTGAATTTTAAATTAAAATTTATAAGAACTCAAGAAGTTTGAAACTTTAAAACAAGCTAAATGATAAAAGGACAGTTATTCATTGATGTGATCCTTTATCATAAACGATATATAATGAAGAATTCAACTATTTTTGTGTCTGCAAGTCAGATGCTATCAAGCAAACTGCCACGTACGGATTGATCATCTTTTTTACATTTTTAACTCAAAGACAAATAGGAAGATTCAGTAAATTTTAATTTTCCAAATGTTCTCAGAAAGAATGATCAGAAGCATCCTCCACTTATAAGACACAGGTGGATAATCCATTTACCCCCAACGAACCACCTGTGTGTGCTGTGAGGTAGTAATGTGATCTTCTATGGTGATGACACCCTCAACAGAGAAGTGTCCCCTCTTCACGTGAAGAGTGTGAACAACAAGAAAGGACAGAGAGTTACCTTTCATTACTTCATCAACTATTGGTGTTTTCATAGGATTTCAAATGCCTGACTCCAATTTTACAACAATAAAAATACCAATATTTATTCTGGAAGGGGATTTTATGTTCCAAGCAGCAGATATTAACAACTTCCAACACAATCTCTAGGAACTATTCGCAGTTCTGAACCGTGCTTTAGAAAAACATTTCCAGCAGTCTGTGCAGGATTTATTCCTACTCCATCATTGGTAATAACTGCACCTGTTGCTGCAGGAACTTTAAATTCTTCTGCTGCAAACTTTAAGACTGCTGTAAAAGGTGTACTTTCGGGAACACTGAGTACTTTGTACGGCAGCTGCGGGTCCGACGTCAGCGTGATCTTAAAGGAAACCTTCGACATGGTGCAGCCGGTCTGGACAGAAACCCCACTCTAACCTAGGCATTTATTTTGTGATCATTTTATCGTGAAGCATACACCAGAGAGTTTCCTTAAGAGACAATGTTCCACTGAGAGAGAGAGAGAGACAGAGAGAGAGAGTTGGGGGTGTCAGAACTGGAGGAAGGGGGAGGGTTTTGACCAAGGGCAGGGGAAGAGGTATTTGGTTATACCTGGCTTTATAATTTGGGGGGCTAAAATGACTGAGGACATGCCTTATGGCTTAGCTGATCACTCTGGTGCTTGATTATTCTCTCATATGTGTATTGAAATGAAACCAAAAGTAAATCCTAAGCAAAATTCTTGGCCCTGCCTAGGTGTATACCAGGTCTGGCTCTGTACTGACAGGGGTGGCCTCCTACTGATGCATGTGTCCTTGTCTGGTTTCTCAGTATCCTTGAATTAAGCTGACTACAAAAGTCTATGACATTTGATATACAGGATGGGTGCCCTCAGGGTATATCTAGTAAAATTTAGAACTTACTGCCATTTAAGACTATTAAAGACTTGATTAAGAGGAATCATATTCATGGAAGGACAGCCTGATGAATGTTGATTCATTCATTTATAAGTTATCCTGGATTAGTCAAGGCAGCAAAGAGCTATATATCACTATCACAACCTTCACACTTTGCTACCTAAACCTATTCACTTTCACACCATATTGGCTACTGGCTAATATCAAGAGGCATATAAAACAACCCTATGAAAGTCTGTGCTGTGTTTACTAAAAGGAATCATGAGGCTGCTGTTCACTGTGTTGCAAAGTGCCTTCTTTGAGGACACTCCATAGGGACATCTTTCTGATATCAGCACAGTGATAGCTGGGTTCCTCTGAGCACTAGTCTGGCCCAGGTATTTCCTGTCAGTAAGCACAAATAAAGTCATGATTTTAAGACCCTAAATCATGATTCCCCAAGTCCTTTACAATCAGGAAGTCCAATTTCCCTCCACAGACATTTCTGGAATTACCCAAGGATATTAACATGCATGTTATGCCTCCCTAAGCCCAGTGGTATGCTGGTAAATGTTTAACAACCAGCTTTCTGGTGGAAAAAGCTGATAGATTTGTAACATGTGCTAATTTCCTTGGTGTAAATACTGCTCTCACTATGGCCAATGTAATATCACTGAAGGTAGAGTTGGAAAGAGATGCATAGCAGCATTTCATTATATAGTATTTCCACCATATAGATACAGTACATGCTAACAACCTTTAGACTATACATACTAGTAAAATGTAGCAACATAAATAGAATGAGTCTTGAGCAATAATTACCTTTGTTTTTGTTATATTTATTTGTAAGTCTATATAATTTACTTTTTAAATAATGACTCTAACAACTGGCTTGCAAAATTCCCTGAAAGTTTAACAATTGGCTCTCATGAGCCAGTGTAAGCTGGCTCCCACACACCACTATCTAAAGCCACACTGGGTTGGGAGTCTAGCTAATAGTTTGCCCTTTAGTCTCTTGGATTAACAATCCTGGTCTCATCAGGAGCAGGACCTTAGCCTGATCCTTTTCCTAAGTCTTGCCACATGTCCAGAAAGAGAGGGAGGCAGTTTCCTACATGCAATCAGAACCACTCCCTGCCAGTCCCCTACTCTAAAGTCTGCCGGTCTCCAGGCTCAGGTGCTCTATAGAGCTTCTGCTCACCACACAATGCTCCTACACCAATGGCAGCCTTCTCGTGTCCTGCTTCCAAGCTGCTGACTTCCCTAACTGACAACTGCCATTCTGCCCATGGACCACTGCTCACACTCAGGCCAAGAACTTCCTGAGGGTCAGTATCTGCCAAGTGAGGCTTCTCTCTTTGGTACCCGCCTACCCTTGAACCTCATCGTGGCTCTGACTGCCTCTATTGCTGCTGCTGCCTGCAGCACTGTCTCCTCTGACCTCTGGATCTCCACCTCTTACCTCTTCCTCTGCCCTCAACCTCTTATCCACATTTTAAGGTCTAAATAAACTTTGAAAACTGAGATTCACATAAATGTGACACGAAAACTCACATAACCAAGTAGGATGAAATGGAAGTGAAGAATGATCCCAAGTTTACAAAATGGGTATACATCTATCTATCTATTCCCTGCTTTTAGAAAGTTCGCCTTATGCAACTTTGCTTTTATGAAAGACCTACGTGAGTATCTTTTCCCGCTAACCAAAAGAAATCCAAAGAGGATTTTCATTGTTACAAAAAAAGGCGAAAAGTAAAAATAGTGTTTAGCGCTAGTTGTGCAGCAAGCCATTACAGAGGAAATGCACACATCAAGCACCGCCAAGTTCCTTCTCTAGGAACTATACGCAGCATCTCAGCATCAGGCTGCCATAACTTTGAACTGTGTCTGTGAGCATCTGTGCTTTATCTCGATTTATTTTGTGCACCTGTTAGCAAGATGTGTCCTAGGGTAATTGTTTCTTTGCTTTATGACATTTCGGCTTACGAAAAGTTTCATAAGAATGCTCTACTTTCAGATAGGGGAATTACACCATATATATGTCTATATAAATAAATATATTTATAATATAATTATATTATATATGATATAAAATATATATTCAGAAATAAAACAGAAAAGTGGTTATCTATGGCTGGTGAAATTATAGGTGATTTTTATATTTTTTCTTTGTTTTCCAATTTCCTCCAATAAATACGTTTTATTCTGGCGGGGGGAATGGCAACTCTGACTTGAACTGATATGAGGCAAAATGCAGTCTTTATTTACCTTACATGACATGGATATTCATATGATTTTCTTTAAAAAAAATTAATTATTCAGTTTATAGTGAGCTGCCCCAGAAGCTGCTGGGGTGTTAAGTAATACATAGTATATGCACTAAACTTCAAAATCTGAAGACGACTGATTCTGAATTCTTATATAATATTTTTGGAGGGGGATCCCACAGGGAAGTTGGTTGGGCCCCTAGTGATAGAGCTCTTTCATTTTTATAATAGTCCTTTCTTACCCAGGATTCTAAGGCACTAGAAAACCTGGTGGGGTGGGGGTGAAGGGGCATCTCCATCTGCAGGCAGTACCAGACGGTACTCAGAACCACCCTCTGAGCTCTTCTGACTCCCAGAACTCTGCTGAGACCGGCCTCTCTCTGCCCTCCTCCACTTGGGGTGATTTTCTCTAAGATGCTCACTTTCACTCTGTGCAATCCAGTTTCCTTTGAGTGTCCCTCGTCCCTTAAATATATCTGCATATATATAAACCCTAATTGAGGACAGGGTTCAAAGTTCTTTCTCACGGGGTTCATGGGACCCATGAAAATTGGAGGATAAGAAGACACCTTAAGTGTTCTAAACATTCTGTTACTCTTTTAGAGGTTCATGGAAGAGATTTGGGAAAGTGGCATCCAACTCCACAAGCTGGTCTATTCAAGTCTCAGTTCCAGCTCAGCCAGAACACTTACTCCACTTGCTACTCATTGGTTGCAATTTTCCTTGGTTGCTACAAAGCTTAGAATCATATTTGTGACTTATCCCTAGCAAACCATAGGACCTTACACCATGCATTTTACATATAATACTGCTGGTTTTATCTTATCTTTCCCACTCTTGGTTTTCTTTTGTGCTCTTTTTCTCTGTATATATTTTTAATTTATCCTACTTCATGTATTTACATAAGTTACTTTAAATCCCTTCTTCTGGAATGAAGCAGGGTATAAATAAATGGTGATTAACAAAAGAGTTTGATGAGGATCCATTTCTTCACCTCTAAAGGCCCTAAGATGAACTGCTGGCAATAAGAGTCTATGAAAACTACTCCAGACAGGATCACCATTATAGCTTGTCACCTGTTCTGTGTTCACCACCAATCCACAAGCTAAATCTTGAAATGGAGAGACAGCTAGGAAAAAAGGGATCAGGAAATCCTATCTCTGTAAGTCATCTGAACCATCATAAAGCACTTGATTGGATAATGCTCTTTCCCCAAAAAAGTATGATTTCTGTTCTCGACATTTATGTTGTAACACATGCATATTTAAGCATCTCAGTTCACATACACTGAGAGGGAGTATATCACAATTGTTGAGTGCAGACTCTGGCACTAGGATGCCTGGGTTTGAATCCCAGATCTGCCATTTACTTGGGGCTAGGTATTTAACCATTCTGTGCTTCAATAAATTCCGTCTACAAAGTAGAGATAATAATAGTACCTACCTCACAGGGCTGGTGTAAGGATTAAATGAAAATAACATATGTACTATAACATTTAAAACAGTGCCAGAGCACATACAGGGATCTCAAAAATGTTAGCTATTATTAGTGATATGTGAGTGGGAGAAGCACTGCCTTGAGCTTGAGACAGCATCTTGTTTGTGAGTTTCTGGACAAACACCTGAGGAATGAGTGAAGACTTTCGGTCTGACCACTTCTGAGAACAGGCCAAAAACTCTGGCTTACCTAGATCCTTTGCGTGGCTAGTCTTCCCCCTGCTTTTCTAGAGGCAGAATTCTGTGGTGGAAAGAAGAGGTGGGCAACCAACCTTCCTGAGCCTCCGCGTTTCTTTGTCCCTCTCTTCTACACACCAGATACGGTGGGAGCTGCAGGCACAAAGATAAATTGGGTTTACCGTGTAGGAGCTCACGGTTGAGTGCAGGAGATAAATGCAAAAACAATTACAAGGTAGGGTGATTAAGCAATATATAATGAAGGTATTTTTCTTGTTCAAAATGCACTGTGGAAAAGCAGTATCCACAGAATGGAAGATGTAAGATATGTGAAAGCGCTCTACAGAAGGCAGACAACGGTACCCATGTAAAATATTATTACTGCTGACCCTCCCAGGGCCCACTTTAACTTATTTCATCCAGGGGCACTTGGGCAACCAACCTTGTGGAATCGTAGGGTATAAAACCCCTTACGTGCAACGTCAAACTGTTCCAGCAGAGTAACCCCTTCTTGCTTTCCAAACGTGTAAACCCAGTTTCAAACACGGGTAACGCAGTCCGCGTTTCCAGGG